AAAAAAAAAAAACAGCTGAAAGTCATCACTTAAACCATTGTCACAAATTGAAAAAATACATACAACGTTCTGGTGATCTGAAAGAATTGCGTTAGTCAATCAATTACCAGAAAAAACCTAGATTGACATAAATCCTTGCGAGTTAATCAAGACGAAAAATGTTTACACGAGTCGCTTCAATGAAAATAATCCGTAAAATGTCATGACTCTTCTTTTGGTCATTGATTGCGCTAGCCTGAGTATCAGACCCTGATGCTCAGGTTACTGATAACGGTGCATGTAAAATTGAGTCTCGTCAGATCCTATAACTTTAGGAGATGATGGAGTACTTGACCAACTTGATAATATAAAGATTTAGTACTCACAGAACTTTAAGATTGACCAATGTGTGGAAGGTATCAGGATGAATTTGATCGATTAAGTTTTCTGCCAGGTCCCTGATAATGCAAAGTCARTAACGGCCATATGCTAATGTCCCTTTCACAGTTCCTTGCGCCATCTTGAAAGGTAGCCGTGCTTTTGTAACGAAGCGAGATAAACGGTGATCTTGCGATGATACAGACCTTTTTTAACACCTTGGATAATTATTTCACAGGTGTCTATCATTGCAAGCTCACCTTTCGTCTCGCTTCGATGCAAAGGCACGGCTACTTTTCAAGATGGCGCAGGGAACTGTAAAGTGGACTATTTAGTTGAACATTTTTAAGCAAATGTGAAAGCTCACCCAGCTTCATTAACAATGGAGCATCCTTTTCATATTTCTGCTTGAAAACTTTCGAATTTTTTTATCCAGAAAGGAGAAATATATAACAATAGACCTTGTTACCTTGATACGGCAGCCTTCTAAAATTATGGGATGCCCAGGGAGCAAACGTAAAAAATATTTTTTAAAACAAAGAGCAGGCTAATTTTTTTCAAATGCTTTGACGCTCTTGTGTTTTACCTATCGCTCTAGCTACCAGCAAATCCAATTTGTTTTTGAATGTATTTCAAATTGGATAACTTAAAGATGTATAAAAAAAAGAAAAAGACACCCTGATAGCTGTGCTGTCTCATACCATAATCTCTTAGTGAAAACAATATAATTAAAAAAATGAATAAATATTCAGTGAATGTTCTGTTCTCAAAAGCATCCTTAAATTATAAAATCTCTGCAATTTTTGTAATGATTGATGGATGAATTAATTCTCGCCCCACATGAACCCGACTTACAGGCATTAGTACATTGCTATTAACGMGCTTGTCCAACATAAAGCATTTGATGGAGTCTATGCAGGATTGTTGTGTTAAGAGGAAATTAATGGCAAATTAATAGCAAAAAGCGCCAAAAACTGGACTTTCGTATGAGTTTTGATCCCAATTTTAGTTAAAACCTTTTTCAAACAGTTAGAAACGGATGTACTGTGATAAAATGCCTGTTTGAAGCGGTATTATCAATTGTACAAAGATGTTTTGCTGCATTTGTGTTAGAATGCTGCTTTATCAGGCTTTTTTTATAGAAAATATATGGGAAATAAGCAAATSAAGGCCTAAACCTAGTTTTCGAATAAAATGTTTGCTTTGGGTTAACACTTTGATTCCACTTTCATCGGTCATCTCCACTTCCAAACAAGTTAAACTTTCTGAATAACAAGATTTTAGCCTTGTACAACAGCCTTTCTTCAAGAAAATAGTTTTTGGTGCTCACTGCTTGAATACGAAAAGAATTCTCTCTTAAAATATGGTTTTCGATAAACAAATACATAGGTGAGTTTCCATCAGTTGTACTGTAGCTTTGCCATGGCGTCAATAGATTTCGGTATGATGTAACGAGTAGCACCCCAGGCAATAATGAAACACTGAGGTTAGAGTTTGAAATAATTTGATATAGTGCAAGTTATACTTACAATACTTGTAGAGAGCGGAGTTTGTGAAAAGGCTCTTCGCCTAGACTTCTAAGGAAATTCATGTTTAGTTTTCTATATATATATAAAAAAAAAAAAGATTAATAGGCAGACAGACAGACAAAGTAAAAGGTAGACAACGAGGCAAACAAAAATATCACATGATTTTTACACACAAAAAAAAATTCATTTTCGACTGACTTACATGGTTTGGATAGATTCTAAGGCACTGAATGCTTCGTCATCGATGTATAACATTTTGTTGTCACTCAAATCTCTAAAATGATATGTGAAAAAATTAATGTTTCACAATAATTAAATGAGTCATTAATCTTGATTTAAGGCAACTGCTTGCTATTAAAAGTTGGAATTGAGCCACAAGCGTCCGCCCGAAAGAAGATCGCTAAATTTCCATGACGACCACGCGAATAAATTTTTGGGTATACATTATAAATTTTTTATGCGCTCGTTATGAGTTTCAAGAGTGCAGAACGCTTACATTATCATATGGCTTTTTGCTATGCTTCTAAGGCGGATATTTGTTTTGCTCATATAAAATAAAAATAAAAACATTTCCTGATCCACCTTTTGTCTCTTACAGGAGGAATAAATCTAAAATCTAAAATCTAAAATCCCAACAACAGAATAAGTTATTTTGTTTTTGCTTTTGAACGCGAGCGTAGAAGATGTGCAGTGCCCAAATTTATCCATGCCACTTCCTATCAATTAGAACGTGACAATTAGTATATGTAATAGGACTCCATGCTGTCCAATTAAGAAATAATTGGACGAGGAAAATTCCGAGGACTGACAAAATTGGATGAGGCCGTAGGCCGAATCCAATTTGGCAATCAGAGAAATTTTTCGAGTCTAATTATTTCTTGATTTGGGAGCATGAAATCCCATTACCTATTAATTATATAGCTGCCTAATTAATCCCATATCAACAAGACCTGTCCAATTAATGATGGTAATTGAACTGAGTGGAGTGCAATTTGGAACAAAATCATACGAGTGATTACAAGATTGCACGACCGCGTAGCGGGAGTGCAATTTGTTAATTACAAGTATGATTTTGGTCCAAAATTGCACGACACGAAGTTCAGTTACCACTTAATCATATCCTTTATGTAATCATACACAAGAAAAAGACACAATAAAGAGTGCAGAATAATCAATTTAATGTAGTAGAAGAACTAAATGCGAACAAAAAAACATCTAATAAAAATTTTTGTTGATTTTTTTGTTTTATTTTGTTGTTTAAAAAAATTATTTTTTAGGATGCGATTAAGAGCTCCTAAGGATGCGATTTGGGAATTAATCGCACTCCTTTGAACCAATCAGATTGCAGGATTTGGTAGTGATTACAAAAAGGATATGATTAAGAATATAATCGGACAGTTACATATATGGGATTAATGAGAAGTTGTATAATTATAATAGTTATTTTAAAAATATATGTATCAAATTACAATAAAGACGTTCTTTTATTGTTGAAATACTTACATGTACTCTAACACTCTCATCAAGCTAAGTTCTTTCGATTTCATGCGATTAATGTTGTTTTTGAAAAATATCCTAAAAACAAACAAGCAAACATGCAAACAAACAAAGACATAGATTATTTCAATATTTTATAGCTTTATATTGTCACAACCATACCAATCTTTGAGTGCTAAGTGACAGAAGTCAGATATAAATATCCTAAAATACAACTGCCAATTCTGACTGTCATCATAAAATCTCAGCTATCTTACTGCATCAAAACCACCCTGACATACTGGTTTACTCTCTAGTAGTCCATATAGATTTGTGACACCGTAAGAGGTACTGGCTGACTCTCCGGTGGTCCTTTTAGATTTGTGACACCGTAAGAGGTACTTTCTAAATTTCTGGTGGTCCTTTTAGATTTGGGACAACCTAAAAAGCACAAAATTGCAGACCTGGAACCCTAAAAGGTATGACAGTCATCCCCGCTCTTGTCCAATTGGAGACCCCTCCCCTCCGGTGGTGGGGTGGGAGGATATCAAACTTTGCCCTGTTAGTTGGGACAGTATATAAAACTTCCATTCTTACAAGACTGCTGTATCATCTGGGATGTTGCCTGGTACAATAGACAGCGATTGCCCTTCGACAACGAGACGTTGCTTGTCACCAGAAGTATAAAAACATTTGCAGCTTGCAGGGCATTGTTCTAAATCGAAGTCAAAACATAATTATTATCAATAACATTAATGTGACCATCTTCAAATTTCATTACCATTATTTTCACGATCATTACGTTCAAAATTAATAGAAAACATAAGAAAACATAAGCAAACCCGATCAAATATATTATTCTAAAAATAGCATCAATGATTCTAAAAATAGCATCAATGATTCTAAAAATAGCATCTTTGATTCTAAAAATAACATCAATGAATCTAAAAATAGCATCAAYGATTCTAAAAATTGCATCAAAGAGTGCTCATGATGGGGCCCGGGGATTCTTTCTGAGTTCGTTTTCCCTTGAATATCATCATTAATATCCTTCTCAATACCCACCATCACAGTCATTATTACACAGCACTACTAGTATCGCCACAATCATGTTCATAATTAATATATCAATATTATCAGCAATATCATTATTTTCAACATGACATATGTATAGTCCTATAGGATGCTACTTTTCACTAACCTGAGTTTTTGGTACCAGGAGGCTCAACTATAACAAAAATGAGAACATATTTAACTGTTAATCTTTTGGAACTAAACAAATGATCCTGGAATTGGCACACTATCATGATTGCAAGCCTTTTTCGCCAGGTAAAGATTTATCAAAAATGTTGTGAAACTCAAAATCACACGAAGTCTTTTCAAAATATTATTTTGTGATTTTATATAGTAGTTTTTGACATCAATGTCATCACTGTAGTGGCTAAAGTTTGCTGTAATAATGATAATTAGATAATTAAAACAAAACTAAGAACACGTTCAATTAGAACACTTAAGAGAGCATTTCACAATGTTCAAAAAATTAGAAAATTAAAATTTTTGTACCTCTTGCGGAATATTTGATCTTGAAACCACCTTTATACTTGAAAGGAGTTGTAGAATTGAACAGCATTGTGAGTGTGTTCGAACTTGACAGTATTCTAGGAATAGTTGAACCACAATATCTGCCAATCATTGGTGAGTGTTCACGTGATGGTCCGTCATAGACAGCGATGTAGTCCTCATTACAACGTGAAGTTAAATTTAATGCAAAGAATTCTGTAGAAAGGCTAACAACCATTCCCTTAGGCACTTTGATATACCATGTACATATAGATCCTGGAGGATAGGCCGCTGGGTACATGGGTGATGTAATCACCCCGGACAAGCTGGTTAAAACCATTGCACATGCTGTAGTACGGCAAAAATAAAATTCGTTTTATAAGAAAAATCATATGAAAAATAAACACTTCGTTGTTCAGTGCTGGCGTAAAGGATTGTTTCGGAAAAACGCTTTGTCTACATTTTTTGATCAATCCTGTAGCATCGGAACAGTCAACGTACAATATTAGCGCTTTGGCGATTTAGAAAGGAATATCAACTTGAAAAAATAAATGAAAGTTATTATGTCGACTATGATGCTTTAATGTGGGGGTTGTTTATCATTATGATAAAAACGAGGATGGTACATAATGGTAATGATAAATATCAAAATTATAGTGTCGTTCGCGCAGGATCCCTGTGCTTGACAAATTCCAGGTCCCCAAGCTAAATCCAAGATGGTGGACAAAATAGAATTCAAGTGTTTCGTCGTTTTAAGTTTTAAATTTGATTCCTATCTTCGACATTGTAAGACTTTAAAAGGGTGAAAATAACCAAAAAAAAAAAAAAACATTCTTTGTTTACTTCCAAACCTTCCACTTAAGGTATGGTTACCAAATATGGATTGCCAAGCAAGCGAACAGCAATTGTTTTTGGGGAAACGTTTGACTGAACGATACTGATAATGATGATGTTGAATATATAATGTTGTCTACCTTTTTCAGCATATTGTTGCCAGAGTTTACAATATCCATCTGTAAATGATAAATCCCCGATTGCTATGAATCCATTGGAATTTGCCTGGAATTTTCCTCTGACGGTTACCTAACAATCAAAATTCATATCAAGTTTCTAATAAGACTTTTGAGGAGGTCAGTATAGTTTTGGCTATGATCATTGGTTGTCATATTGATGATAAAATACGGACATGCTAATTTGAATAATTTCACAAATTCAACCAATCATAATGAAGATAAACCAATGCAAATTAATCCAGACTTAAATCATTCATGTAGATACCATAAATCTTTGATTTCTTCGCCAACCGTTTGAATGAAACATTGTGATAGATGAAAATTAATAAGAAACCGATTCTGCCTCACTTCTGATTGGCTATGTTTTCTCTCTGCGTGATTGGTTAATTGTTAAAGTGGACCAGCTTTTGTGCCCGCACTCTAACCGCCATTACTCCCAACCAACTGAGCCAACCGGGTGGTAATGAAAATGATAAATAAATAAACAATGTTAATACCTTATACTTTGTTACCGTTGCTAAAGAAACTTCCCCTTTCTTCCACACGGGCACATCAGTAGCATTGTCATCTATCCACACTATTTTCTCTCCAATCACTGGGATTTTCTGTAAAACCATYAGTGACAGTGGGCCTGTTCCAATTATCATGTAAAGAAAACTCATGCACTTTGGTTTTCCTGTAGAGGATCGATTGAACAGCTGAGTCAACTCAGCCGTGCCATTAATGGCTGATGAGGAATTCATAAATTGTACCCCTAGAAATAAAAAAAAAATTCACTCTTACTATTTCATTTAATTCAATAACTTTAGATTTGTTTTATTTGATGATTGCTTTTTAACGGCAGACAGAAAATCACTGATGATTGAGGGGAAAAAATTGAAGTTCTTATTCCTTGTTATTAATGGGCGCAAGGTATGAGAAAAGGCTGGCTCACATCTAGTATGAAAGAGGATGTTTTTGATGTAATTGTGTGCTGTTTTGAAAATGTGCTGGATCACAGAGCCAATATACATGTATCAAGAGTTCCCCGCTACTGCTCTATCGCATGCCCAAGGGGTCAAAAAGTGGGACCATGGGTTGTAAAGATTACATCATTTTGGCAATTGTATGCTTGATAAGAAAAATACAATGAAAATATAATAATTTTTGCAACCCATGATCCCTCTCTTTGACCCCTCGAGAATGCGCTTAGAGGAGTAGCGAGGAAATCTTGATGCATGTATGCCAGATGGATTTGGTACTGGTACTAGTACTGGGTCCCTGATATGGGAATATGCTGGAAAACATTCTTTATCTGACATTATAGATACACCAAATTGCCAAGTCATTGCCGGGTTAATAATAGAAAATAGAAGCTGGGACCGAAAGGTATGCTGGTAAATGACATAATCATCCTTGCTATATATTTATTTGAAATATGGTATGTATATTTATGAACATTCCAAGACCTGTATCACTGGATATATCTAATTAATTAATGTGCTATTAAAAATACCATTTTTGGTCTCCGGTTCTATGTATTTGAGCCCGAAAATGATTTCACAATAGTCCCTTTCACAGTTCCCTGCGCCATCTTGAAAGTTAGCCGTGCCTTTGTATCGGAGCGAGACGAACGGTGAGCTGGCAATGATAGAGACCTTTTTTTAACACCTTGGACAATTATTCGCATGTCTTTATCATTGCAAGCTCACCGTTCGTCTCGCTTCGATGCAAATGCACGGCTACCTTTCAAGATGGCGCAGGAAAGTGTGAAGGGAACTATTGAGTATAGATGGTCCTTCAGAAATCCCGAGTAAGGAGATGCAACGTTAATAGATTACTCAGGCATGTACTATTCGATTTTTTCTATCTCATGAATCATTTCAAGTCCAATTTTTGCTGCGTTACCTTGTTGCAGGAGACAGTCAACATTGTTATTGACCTCGTAGTTTCCTTTCAGTGTACTTTTCAAGGTCTCCCACGATATGACGTCACCATTACCACTAACCCCTTCTCCTCCACATCCATATGACATGCGCAGTATTTCCCCTGGAGGAAATATATCTTTCCAAATATTAAGCCCGGTGAATGAAATCGGGTCATTCGATGCAGTGACGTTCGATTTATGGTTTTCCAAAGTAATGCGTTTTAGAACTAAAACGATATAAACAACATAATTCAGCGTAATTTGGAGACCAAATGCGTGACAAATTAACCTTCATTGGTAATTTGATGCTAATCGGGCAACCGCTAACGCGACGTCACTGAGAAAAATGAAAAATATAGCAATTGACATTTCATCTGAAGAAAACAGCCAAATATTTTAAAAAATTTGGTAAAGAGTTTTTCAGGGAATTTATCTTTAAACAATTATTTTTAATCATTTTTGTTAAGTGTCAACTTGTCAACTTGTTCAACTGAATCTTTATTTCCTTCCGTAGCGTAATAATATTTTCTTTGTTTTCAGGCTCATAAGATGCATTCATTTCCTCATTAACTTTGAAGTCATAATTAAAATCGTATATTGCATTATAGCTCCTTACATACCAGGTAAAATCTTTCCTCGATTCCAAGCTCTACCAAAGCTGTAAAGCTGACCGTTTATATATATTTCCCATACACCAGAAAGAGATCTCCACGTAAAACACAAATGGTTCCACATGCCATCACAGGTACAATATTCAGCGCGCCTGTAACGAAATATTAAAGTACTGTAATTTTGAAGCATTTATCTTGGTAACAACCACGTTTTTCTTTGGCCTATAACTATTACTAAAGCAGACAAAGGACTCACACTTAGACCATTAAACATTGTACTTAGGAACTGACAAAACAATATATATTGTTTTGTATATAATATTTTAAAAGCACGTTCTTGGAAAAAACATTCCATTGTCACTTCTTTTTTATGTTGCATGTTAAAAATAACATGGAGGTCACCGACTTCATTTAGTCATTAGATTTCGCAAAAGTTCACCTTTTTGCTACACAAACGCGTGAATACATAACGCAAAAATTGTAGCCTTCACGTTACGTTAAATTCTATTCAGATTATACAAAAAATATGTGATTGCGATTTATTCCAATCTTTTTTCACTGTAAAGTTAGAGTAATGAAGTACTTTTAGAATACGGAATAAAAACGAGGGGTCACTGATCTTGTTTCAGTGCTGATAGAGTGGATACAATTTCACTGCATAATTGCCACTTTTAACCGTATCAATTTTTGTCACCCAAGGACATTTCTGACCTTGTTTAAAACTAAAGACACTTACGAGGATTGGCCAAGAAGCACGAAGAGAACCTGGCAGTTTTCTTGCTCGATGTGTATTGTGGTATTTTTTTCTGTGTGCATGAGAGTTATTGAGAATCTATGAAGATCACACTTCACCCAGAAACAGATCGTGAATTGTCTTTGCAGGTCAAATATCCCTTGTGATGTAATGAGGACTCCTTTCAGCAACTGCACTGTTACTGAGGGGGAAAAAGATTTGTAACTCGTTTGACTGAATGCAAGAGAAAATGTACTAAGAGAACCACAGGAACTCCAATCATGACACAGGGTTCCCATTCGTGGCAATATCCTTTTAATCATCATAGGCACCGTTTGATGCTATTTATAGAATCAATTTTATCATGCATCGTTAGAAAGCATGAGCAAACAGCGAAGAGCGCGGTCAGGTGCGAAAAAAAACAAAACAAAAAATTGAATGAATGATTTAAAAATAGCATCAAAAAGTGCTCAACGTGGCACGGGGATTTTTCTCTTAGATCATTTTCTCTTGCCAAATAACTGAATGACGGAATGAATAAAGGAGTGAATTTGTGAATGCATGGATGTATATGTTTTATATGTTGTTTTAGTTTTTGCTATGCGCTTTTGCTACGTGCGCTATTGTAGACAACAGTCGCGAAAGGGAAATCGGGCAATATTCGTCCACCAAACAAAGAAATTGTTAGAGTATGTAAAGGTATCTGGGAACGATTAGTTTTATTGTCGCTACTGTTGTGTCGATCAACGCATAGCAACAAAAGCAGTAGTAATTTATTCTTTCAATGCATTTAGGTTAGAAACACCTACCAGGAATGTTTGTTGATTTTATTTCCACAAAGTTTGCAAATTTCTTAATTCTTTCTTTTTCAATAAACTGACTGCCATGTTTCTTCCATTCGCACATAGTATTGTTCATTGGGCAGGATCCTTGAATATCAAGGAAAGAACATCGGAGTTAAAATGTAAACATTGATGGCTTAAAAATCTAAATCGAGCATCGTACTCTCATCAGGCTCCACTTAGGAATATTTTTTTACGCTCATGTACCAGCAGAAAAATTAGTGTTTTTCAATTTCTTTGAGAAAGTTAAGAATTTGCATGTAAAATGAACTCAACGTGAGTATAATAGCATCGCTATATCTTAGCACCAATAGAACTCTTCGAAAAGCAAGCTTTAATATGATAACAAGAATTACTTCCTAAGAGATATTTTCAGAATTACGAGATTTTTAACGCGAGTTTTCCCGCGCAGTTTGATAATAACCTTAACAGAGAACGTGGATCGAAAAGTAACGCWGGCCAACGATGTCAACCTATTTATACGTTATAAATGTCTAGACTGGCTCCTTACGATTCATCACATAGACGTCGTTTGCTTGTATCCCTCCTTTTCCAGACTGACCGCATACAGCACTATCCCCGTGCCTAGAATACACGTGCTCCGCTGACAGGCTCGCTAAGCATTTCCCGCCTTTTTGAAGAGCGAACACCTCAAACCCCCGTCTATATGCAGCTCTTGCACATTTTGAAACGGCATCTGTTCGTTTCTTGTAGCTGCCAGTTAGGAGATCATCAATGCTCTCCAAGGATGGAATGTGGCCTGATGTTGAGTTGGTTGGATCCTTGAAACACCCAAGATGTTTTATCTTGTTCGGCAGGTCATCTATAACGTTTTAAAACACTCATTAATAATTCATAAGCTTATSTTCCAATTGGAGCCACCATACACGTCACGTGCATGGACCTTTATACGTAATAAAGTCCTCTTTATTAGTATTCAAGTGATTTTATATAAAGACACATGTGTCTTTATATAAAGACCAACTCGAATACTATGAGGATGACTTCATCAGGGATGAAGTATGCATCCAAGTTTAGATGAAGACTTAGAGCCTAATCAAGGTCATATATAGTCAACCCTAAAAATCTTTGACTAACGTGCCTGTCTTTGCCTTGGCACGCAATATCCAACGTGTGGGAGCTTCTATTGGATCTGGTTGCGAATGCCCGTGACGTCAAATCTCTATCGAAGTATAAAAATCCATACACGTGACGTGTATGGTGGCTCCGATTGGACCAAAATCTTATAAATTGTTCATGAGTGTTTTAAGCAGTTAAAAAACTCGTAGATCGTGTTTTAAATACTACATAAAACAACAATAATATTAATCTCACACAAATTGAAGAAAGAGAGGCGTTAACAGGGAAATTACCTTCTTGACTTGAAGACCATGGAATAATACTTTCACATGGCATGGAAATAAGAGACAAGCCTTTTACAGTTGTTAAGGCATTAATGGATCTCATTTCTATGTCAATTGAAATCTGCAAGAGAATTAAACCATTTATCCTCTCTGAATGTGAAATAATATTATCTGTTTGCTTAAACAACTGATTTATAATGCACTGTTTAAAAAGCATTGTTCAGGGGGACAAAAGTATAGGCTGTCTTTATAAAAGCAAAAAAAAAAAAACAAACATTGTTTTGTCCCTCAGAATAATTACTTTTTGGGACTTATTTCCCTTTCTCTTTGTCTTCTTAATTTAATTTCTGTCAGGCACATAGGCAGCCTAATCTCTGTTTCTGTCAGGCTTGAAGAAGAATATTTAAGCTAGGCCACTTCTAATTAACTCCTTTTTGGACTAATATGATAATGAAATGTCGTTTTTAATATAAAATAGGAAAATAAATTTCCTTCTCATTTATGATTCATTTTTCTCCATTGTTTTCTTTGCGTGTGCTTTTTGTTTGTTTGTTTGTTTTGTCTGCTTTTTGTGTCTTTTTTTCTCATAGTTTGGTTTGTTATATATTGTATTTTGCTTTGTACTTCAACTTTCCTAACTTAATTTCCGTTTGACCTAGCCATGTAGCTCGAGTAGCTCTGCTATTTCCTAAATGGCTGGCGCCCATACATATATTTTCCCCATCTTTACCAGTTAAATATATTAATATGTTACTATATGGAGTATTAAAAAAATGAATATGTTGTTGGTTTGCCTTTGCCACAACGAGGCACAACGAGGCAGAATCTTGAATCTTGACAGTTATTCGTCCGTGTCCGTGGAACCGGGTGAAAATATTTTAATACTATGCGAAATGTGAATTCTATAGAAGAGAAAACCCTTTTATGGTTTCCTTTTTTTTTGTTAAATTATGACTTGCCATTTTGCGCGAAAGAATAGCCGGGTAAGTAGAATGTTTTCCTCCGTAAACCTTTACACAAGGTTAGTAAATTTAGTAATGTACAAAGACAAATTATGGTTGTTCATTTAATTAAGGTATTAATTTCCTTAAAACCTTGTTTACTTGTTTACTGTGAACATCCCCCTCCCCCATAACGATGGAATTATTATGTTCTGAACGCGCAAAATCATCTCAAGATGAACGGATAATCAACTATTGAACAGATAAAAACAGTTATAGTGAAGATGTAATTGAAAAGCAAAACAAAAATATTACTAAACATATAGACGTGTAATATTTATAATTATCACCTTCGATGAATGCGAAAGCTCCACAATTGGTATCTGCACATAGTGTCGTCCTAAATCACCTATTTGGCCGAACACGATCGACGTCTTCCTTGTTAGGTCTAATAAGCAACAGTACATGGAATATGCTTTGCTTTCTCGCATAAGATCTTGTTTAACAGTAAAAGCGTCCAAATGTGTATATAATAGCTTGATATTGCCAATACTTCAGTATACAGATACAGTTTGGGGGGAACTCTCAGCTGGAAATAGCCAGCGACTCCAAAGATTGCAAAATAGGGCAGCTCGTATTATTATAAATAGGGAGAGTTCTCAGGAAGCTCTACAAATATTGGGATGGGTAGACTTAGCCAAGACAAGAAAAATGCATAAATGCATATTAGTATTTAAATG